GGGGGGAGAGGTTTTTGCTATAGGGTGTGTGCACTTGCCAGAAAGACACAGAGACAGAAAGTGAGAAATCACCCTGCAGGGGGGTGGTCATGCCACAATCCCATCTCCTCCAATTCTCTTCTCAGGATCTTGGGCACGCAAACACGTGCCTGGCATGAGTTTAAGCCACTGGGTCTGGGACTCGAACTGCAGTCCACCACAGGGGAGTCCAGCAACATAGCCTTTACACCTTTGCTGGCCTCCCCCAATAAAATAATTCTTAAAAAAAGAAAATCATGCTGGGCACATGTGTGTGTGTGCCCAAAATCCCAGGAGGAGGAGATAGGAGCACTGACTGCAGCATGGCCATTCCCCCTGGGGTTGATTTCTCACTTTCTCTCTGTTTCTGTCTCTCTCTCTGGCAAGTGCATATCCCCTAATGCAAAAAACTGTTAAGAAAACAATCATACAACAAACATTCCCTCACTCTGCCCACCCCACCCAATGCTGCAGTTGTCAACAGCTTTTAGATAACTTATAAGTTTCATGACTTCAAATATCTCTCCTGTGCCTGTCTTATATGATTATCATGACAAAAACACACTGACATTATTAGATTGGGAGCAGCTCTGTAATTATACTAGTAACTCCAAGAATGTAAGCTTGTCCTATCTTATTGAAGGATATATTCCCAAGACCTAGAACATAGGTACCAAGTAAATTTTTGTTAAAGAAACCTTCCCTGAAAGGGAAGAGACCTTATCTTAGTAATTATTTTTAGTTTGCATGTTTGAAAAAAGTAAAAACTCAGTAAATGTTGTTTGAATAACTTTACTGATAATAAATTAATGGAAAAATGGAATTAAAGTATGAATTTATTTTGGTGTAAAATATTTGAAACCCATGCAGTTGTTTCATAATATACATTTCCCTTGAACTTTCTGAGGACCCCTTGTATAAAGCAGTTGTTTCTAGTTATGTAACTATATAACTGATAATAGGTTGACAGTTCAGTATTTGTCCTTTTTTATTTTTTAGAGATTTTTGCTATAGGGTATGCTCACCAGAGAGAGAGTCAGAGAGACAGAAAGTGAGAAATCACCCCCCTGGGGGCTGACCATGCCACATTCCCTTCTCTTCCATTCTCCTCTTGGGATTTTGGGCACATACTCACTCAGTGTGAATTTCATGCCACCTGATCTGGGATGTGAACTGCAGTCTGTCATGTAGGAGTCCAGTGTACCTAACCACTATGTACCTGCTGGCCCTAATATTTGTCCTTCTAAATCAATTTGTCCATTACCTTTCACAGACTCTTAGCCCCTATTTTGGCCCATAATTTGATGTTGACACAACGTTTTATTTAATTATGTGCTGTAAAATGTTCCATCATAATTAAGGATAGCAAAATCTGGACCAGAGTATCTAAGTCCTATGGGAATACTTTTAGTCAATGTTAGGTTCTTATGCCATGTTTTTTGGGATCTGTTTAGAACAGATGGACAACTAAGAATGGATTTTAAAGAAGGCAACAAAATGAAGAGAAAAACAAGTCCAGTGAGTAAGGTAAGGAACCACCTAAGTTTATGTATAGCAGGCCACCAAACTGACCCAATTTGTCAGTTTAAAGAATAGGTGTGATTGTTTCCTTGTTTGCTGTTCTTATAGGCATCATCAAGCATTAAAAAAAATGCTTTAATTAGCTAGTATCATCTTGAAATAATTATACATTGTAATAGATTGTGAAGATGAACAGTAATTCCTCCCCTTTCTGTATGCATATCCTTTTGCAATGTGACTTTTTGTTTCCTCCCATCTATCTCCTCACTTCTTGAATCTGTGCTGGCCTTTTGACTTGATGAATAGAATGTGGTGGAAGTAATATATGAGAGTTCTGAGTTCTCAAAAAGTCTTGCAGTTTCTGCTCTCTATTGGCTTGGCATGCTGCCACTTGAAGAGGATGCCCCAGATTAGACTTATTGAGTACTAATAACTACAAGGACACAAGTCCAGCCAATAGTCAACACCAGTCAAGTAGGAAGGGCTGAAGCAACTGCATGTGTGACCCTAGACAAGACCAAGCCCAATTACTGATCCATAGAATTAAGAGGGCATAAAATGGTCTTAAGTCACTCATTTTGGCATGGCTTGTCATGTAGCAATAATATATATGATAGAACTCTCTCTCACACACACACACAAACATGTGCTTCAAAAAGTTCACAGAAAATGAAATCAAAGTTTGAGTTTTTTTGGTGCAACAATACAATGTTTTTAATACATTTTCCACAAACTTGTTGAATACCTTGTGTGTGTGTGTGTGTGTGTGTGTGTGTGTGAGAGAGAGAGAGAGAGAGAGAAAGAGAGAGAGAACGATCTCTAACCTTGATAACAAGAGAGAATCTTAAACTATAAAATGGAATTAGGCTAATCATTAGGATGTATTTTCAGACTTTTAAGGATCAAAAAGTAATGCTGTCCTAATGTATTGCCTAAACTGCAGTGCTGAACAGCAAAAGGAAAGGATTTAATTGAGATTTTTCTGGGATAGCATCTGCACAGTTTTTAAAGGTAGGGTAACAATTCAAGATGATATGCAAAGTACCTTTAAACTCAAAAGTCCTGTGAAATTTCAGTTAAATTCTTGATTTAGCAATACCATTTCCACTTCATGAACTTGTACATAGAATTTTAATATATATTACTTTTCACAACAAGCAAGTGCTCCTGATTCACCATTCACATACAGTGTAACCCAAAACAGCTAACAGCTATGGTATGGTACAGGCAACATAGTATAGGCAATACAGCATAATGGCAAAGTTCATGAATACCAGAGCCACACACTGCTTGGATTCAAATGTATCAACTGTGACCTTCATGTTACCTCTTTGCCTGTTTCCCCAACTGCCGAACTGAAGGACAGCAAAACCTCATTGCATTGTTTCTAGGATTAAATGAGTTAATATTTCATTTTAAAACATATAAACTACTCATTACATGTCAGAAATTAGTGGTGTTACTTCAATAGGATGTAATCTAGGTCCTGGACCCAGTTCTGTTACTGATCTTGGGTATATCACTTAATCTCTCTGGCTCAGTTTCCTTAACTATAAAATAAACTTTTTCAGATAACTTTCATGGTCTAATTTCACCTTTAAGTTCTATGATAAGTGTTTAATATTTTTTTTTAGGCATCATTTCTTTAACCTACACCTGATCAGCATTTGTTAACTCTCACATATCTGAAACAAAGCTTTTTCAGGCTTATGGAAATTTAGAACTGAGTATTGATTTTTAAGAAATCATTTCTTCCATGAGTGACAAACAGATATATACATATAGAGACACCCACAACAGCATCCTGATGCTACAGTCCACTTCCAGTCTCAGCCAGTCCAGATCACACTGTGTACAGGGAAGTCCTGGGATACAGACCAGGGACCTGTGTTTAGTTGTGTTACTGCTGCACCACCATGTGGCCCCATGGATATTCATTTTTAATTATTTTTTAAGAGAGATTTTTGCTATAGTGTGCATGTGCTTACCAGAGCTAGAAAGTGAAAAATCACCCCCCACGCCACCCGGAAGATGATCATTCCACAATCCCTTCTCCTCTAGGAATTTTGGGCATGTACACACACTTGCCAAGTGTGAGTTTCAAGCTGTCAGGTCCGGTACTCTAACCATGGTCGGACATGTGGGAGTCCAGTGATGTAACTATTATGCCATCTGCTTGTCCTGGATATTCATTTTTTAACCTGGGATAAATATGATTATATAAAAGATTCTTAGAAAATATTTCACCTCAAATTTTACCACTTGAATGTCCAATATTATGTTTCCTTTCAGTCTTTTATTTTTAGAGTGATATTCATCATGCACGCTTCATTTTCTATCTTACTATTTACACTTTATTATCACTATACATTGCTTTAACAATGTTAAAGCCTTCTTATTGATTTTTCTTTCAATTGTCAGAGGGCAGTATGCTTGCCAGAGAAACAGAGACAGAAAGAGTGGGAGATAGCACCCTCCCAGTGAGGTGTGTTCACAGGGTAATCTCTTAATGTCACCATTTCTCAGGGTTTGGGGACTGCATATACACTCTGTGCAGTCTTTCAAGAAGCTGGAGTCAGGATCTGAACCAAGGCTGGCCATGTGGGATCTGGTTCTTTTAACCACTACACTACGGGGCCAGCCCCTTATTGATTTTGAAAATTAACTTTTAATTAAAGTTTTATATACTTATTTTGCAAAGTACATAAAAGCAAGTTTTATATACTTATTTTGCAAAAGTACATAAAGTAAAAATCATGTGTAACTCCATTAGAGCCCACTGTTTAAGTGTTACATGTCCAAAATACTTTTTGTTGCTTAATCATATTTCATACAGTATTATATAAAATGTGATTTTATTGGCTGCAAAACACTCGCATATCAAAGTATCATAATTTCATCTACATTGACTTATAAACCGTAGCATTTCATTATTATTTTTTTTCTGAGAGGTTTTTGCTATAGGGTGCATGTGCTTGCCAGAAAGACAGAGAGAGAGAGATAGAAAGCGAGAAATCACGCCCCTGGGGAGGATGGCCACGCCACAATTCCTTCTCCATTCTCCTCTCAGGATCTTGGTCACGCGCGCACACGTGCTGGCATGAGTTTAAGCCACCGGGTCCAGGACTGGAACCATGGTTGGCTACATGGGAGTTCAGCGACATAGCCATTATGCTAACTGCGCAGGTCCCGCATTTCATTATCTTTTAATTTGACATCGGATGTGTATGTATGTACCTGTGTGTATGGGGAGAACATTTTTCTATCCTTTTTATGCAACACCTCCCAACCCCAACCAAACTGCTACAACACCCCATATGCTTAAGGACCATATGCTTAAATATTTTTACAATAACAAATTTATCAATTAAAAATAATTTCCTTTGGATTCTGAAAATGGATCTGTCATTCTTTTCTTCCAAACACACAGAAACTATCCATTAAACTTTGCTTTCTCAGGACCGCTCCAATTGGCCGTCTGAGTTAGACAACTGCGAAGGTTTTCCGTGGATGTTGGAAAGGGGAAGAACAAGGAGAATGGGATTTTTCTTCAAAATTTCATGACGGATGGTGGGTACTTATTAGCTTGAAGTTACTAAGGTTAAGAATTCCGTTCTAGGAGTTGGGCTGAAAGCTAAGAGAAGCGCTTTGCAGAATTTGACAGGCAACTGCGATCTCAGATCTTCGGGGATTTTCCAAGCAGGATGCGGGCGCCCAAAAGGAGGGAAAGTCCGTAGGGCGCACATGACCCAACTTCTGTTTTAGGTTTCAAAAGCAAGGAGTAAATACGATCTATTAGAGGGCTAGATAAGGACCCTCAGGTTCCAGGAGGCACACTCGCAAATTGTTGGCTGAAAAAAAAGGGGGGCTCCACTTCTGCCTTTTCCAAACGCGCTGACAGCCTGGTCGGGACCACCTGTACTCACGGCTCATACTTCTGCCAAGTCTCTTCCCACAGCTCTCTCCTGTGCTTTCCTAACCCTCCCCGAGTTTCAGTTCCACCGACAGAACAGCGAGGGCGACAGTTTGGTGGCCAAGCAGCCATCTCCGGGCGCAGACGCTGCACGGCGCCGCACACCTCTCGGCGCGCGCGCCCTAGGCTCCAGCTCCAGGTCGACCACCAGAGAACCGGCGGACCAGTGGTCAGTCCGAGACCCCGGCGGCTGCCACGGCGCCAGCGCCCC